AAGCATGGGCAAACACTCAGCACTGCAGGCCCCACACGTAAGTGGTTTATTACATGATTGTTTTAAACTGTCTACCTAGATCATATACTAATCTTTTTAAACATATCCCAGTTGGATGGCTATTGAGTGAGGAGGGAATGCAAAAGCCTTGGCCAATTCCAGTAAATGATTTCTGTAGCTATGAATAGGTATTTTATATATTGAGAGAATGTAATTTCCACTCTTAGTTGTAGCTCTCTCTGTTCCCTAGAGCCACTAGAACAAGACTCTTCTACATGGTTGTTGTTCAGATATTTGAAAATAGTCACCTTAGCGATTCTGAACTTTCTCTTGTTCTAATCCCAGAGGTTAAATTTAACTGAAATTTGTAGGGATATTTTAGAAAGAAGGCAGGTGTGGTGGTACACACCTATAATCCCAGCAGTTTGGAGTGGCTGAGGCAGGAAGATTGCAAATTCAAGCCCAGCCTGGGTGACTTAGTGACTTAGTAAGACCTTGTCTCAAAATAAAAAAAGGGCTGGGGCTGTAACCCTGTACAAAGGTCCCATATTCAAATGAAAACAACGCTGAGATTCCATCTCACTCCAGAAAGAATGGCTACTATCAAGAAGTCAACCAAGGGCCGGGGATTTAGTTCAGTAGTGCCGGCACCTGCCTCATAAGCACAAGGCCCTGAGTTCAATCTCCAGTACCAAAAGAAAGAGAGAGACAGACAGACAGACAGACCGACCGACAGACCAACCAACCAACCAGTAACAAATGCTGGAGGGGCTGTGAGGAAAAAGGAGCCCTTCTCCAACTGTTGGTGGGAGTGCAGACTGGTGCAACCACTGTGGAAATCAGTGTGGAGATTCCCCAAAAAACTAAAACTAGAGGTTCCACTTGACCCAGCTATTCCCCTTCTTGGTATCTTCCTGCAAGAATTAAAAGCATCATACCACAGCAATATAACCACACCCATTTTTATAGCAGCACAGTTTATAACAGCTAAATCGTGGAAACAGCCCAGATGACCATCAACTGACAAGTGGATAAAGAAGACGTGGGCGTTTTTTATACCGTGGAGTACTACTCTGCCATAAAGAAGGATGAGCTTCAGACATTTATAGCTAAATAGATGGACCTTGAGACCATACTCTTAAGTGAAATAAATTGGACACGTGTTTAAATACCACATTGTTTCTCTGGTGTGAGAAAGTGAATGTGGAAATAAGGACTGAGATGTGTAATGAAATGGGAAATGGGAAGAGAGTGTTCAAATGGGAAGGGGAACAAGGGAAGAGGGAGGGAGAAAGGAAGGAAGGGACAAGAAAAAAAGTGAAAATAGGAGAAAAATGGGAGCAAAGCTTTTGTACATGGGAGGCTTGAAGGGGAGAATGGGATAAAATAAAATTTATTTAAAAATACAAGCAGGGCTGGGGATTTAGCTCAGTTGTTCCGCCGCTGCCTTGCAATCACAAGGACCTGAGTTCGATCCCCAGTACCAAAAAAATAAATAAAAATAAAATTATAATAAAAACAAAGGTCCCATGTACAGTCCCCAGAACCATGTGGGGAGGGGGGAAACACTGTGGAACGGGGGCTGTGAATATTAGTTTAAGCTTGGTGCTTTTTCAGGTGGACTTGGGAACCAGGAATGGACACTGGGGGGGGGGGGGTCACTGCCTGTAAGAATTCTGCTTTCTGCTAGCAGGCATGTGGAGTCTCTCCTGTAGTGTTTTCCTCTGGGGCACCAGGCCCTGGCTTTTCCTGCAGAGGTCTGGAGCCCCGTAGCAAGCTGCCCTGCTCTGTCCAGCATCCTGGTTCTCATCTGGGTACCAGGACCCACTTGTCACTTGCAGCCTTCATGGCATTCACAGTGAGCTCTCATTTTTATAATTGATGTCTAATTAGTAGTTGTAATAAATTGTACTAGCCAAGCTGACCTTTCCTAAATTATGCCGTGGTGTTGGGTATGATAGCAACAGAATTGCTATTTTAAAAGGAGATTTTGTAAATAAACATGCACCAGGTTACAGGAAATACTAAGCTGATGATTAATTGGTGCTCTGAAGCTGGCCTTGTGTTTGCAAACACTTCCATTTTGGTGTTGATCCATCTAGCAAGGTTTTGCCGGGGCCACTCCTCTGATCGTTCCCAGATAGCTAAGTTGTAGTTTGTTTTCTGCCCTCTGATGCCAGGGCAGGTGTCAGGAGGAGGCAGTGCACAGGTACCTCTGTCTGCCCAGAGGGTCAAGGCACAGAAGATGATGCGTGGCCGAGGCTATCTCCATACTGGGCTGTGGGACCTGTGACACTGCTGCATTACTGAGGGCTTTCTGAGCTCTTGCCATTTGTACCTTCATTTTCTTTGCACTAAAGTGGGCTGGGGGAGCCAGGCATACTCTTTATTTTTTTGTTTTGTTGGTTTAGTTTTGTTTCTTTGTTTTGTTTTTTGTTTTTGCTTTTGGTACTGGGGATCAAACTCAGGTCTTTGGGCTTGTGCAGCAGCTGGCGAAACCACTGAGCTAAATCCCTGGCCCTGTTTGTTTGTTTTTGAGACAGAGTCTTACTGTGTAATTCAGGCTGGCCTTGGACCCACTATGTAGCCCAGACTGGCCTCAAATTCACAGCAGTCTTCCTGCCTCAGCTTCCTAAGTGCTGGAATTACAGGCATGCACCACCAGACCTGGCTAGGTTTAGTATTTTTTTTTTGAGACAGGGTCTCACTATGTAGCCCAGGCTGGCCTCAAACTTATGGTGATCCTCCTGCCCCAGCCCCCCGAGTACTGGGATTACAGGTTTGTACCATCACACCCAGCTGAGACCCTATCTCAATTTTTTTTTTTTTAAAAAGGTGACAGTGGGCTGGGGATTTAGCTCAGTGGTTCCACCACCTGCCTCCCAAGCGCAAGGACCTGAGTTCGATCCCCAGTACCAAAAAAATAAAAGGCTAGGGGGAGGGAAGGAGGGAAGAAGAAGAGGAAGTAAAAAGTAAAATGAATTAAGATGTGTTGTATACACGTTTACCAACTCCCTACAATGAATGTAGTCATTACGTACTAAAAAAATTTTTTAAAAGGGCTGATAACGAGGGCAAGGGAAGGGAAATTTTTTTTTTTAACTAGGAAGTGAAAACCTCAAACTGCTGACACCCCTGATTTGTCAGCATGTGGGTAATCCCTGAGCAGTGAAATGGGTAGGAAGTTTAAACATGTCTGAGAACAGCTTAAAAAAGCCACTGAGGCACACTTCCCTGGTCAGAGTACTGGAGTGACTCGGGATGGTGAATAGGTCTCAACAGCGGGGGGCGCGGCACCATCTCGGAAGCCGTCCAGAGCTAGGGAATTTGACACATGTGGGACTTCTGGGGAGACTGCGGGCCAGACCCCAGCCAGTGGGTTAAAGTGAAGCAGCGTGAGGCTGAGCTGGGGCTCCTGGAACAGTGTGGAGCACAAGTGTGACAGAGGCCTGGGCTCCGACCGGCCACCCCATGACTGTGCAGCTTGGGGCGTGGACTTCAACCTTGTAAACCTTGCTTTTTCTCAGCTGTATTCTGTCCCTAGCCAGCAGCTCCTCCCAGGGGTGTGGAAGGCTGATGGCATTGTGACTTATGACTGTGCCGGTGGGTGTGGCGCACAGCATGGTCCCTGCTCAGTTAGGGATCCTGTGGCACAAGAGCATAGCCAGGGCAGCGCCTTGGTCACTGTGCAGTGTCCCTGAGGCCAGCCCATTGTCCCCTTTCTCTGAGTGAGGGGCCTGTGTGCAGTTAGCAGCTTTTAAATGCTCACCTGCCATCAGTCCCAGGCCCCGGAAGGTACAGAGTGACTGCTTCTCTCCTGTGGCACCCCCCAAAGGCAGCAGCCACAATAGTGATGACATTGATACGCTTGGCTCTCGCTGCCCTCGGGGCCTGGCCCTCCCTCTGCTGCCTGCACTGCCTCCATGCCCAGTGGTGGCCACCAGGACAGGTCCGCAACCCAGCACTGCTCAGGACCAGGGTCTTCACAAGGCTTTCCAGAGTTTCTTTGACCAGCAGAGCCCATCCTGGTTTTTAGCAATGACATCACTGTCCTTTACACTTGTGATCTTAGTGGTGAATCATGGGTTCTCCTCCCCTGGGACAGGGAGAGTGGGCTCAGTAGACTTCCTTGGGGTAAGGGCTACAGTCAATCTTTCATTTAATTCTTTATGTTCTAGGTCATTGATTTTTACTATTGATTTTTTTCCTTACCTCACAGTATACACCAAATAAGTTCCAGGGGAATGAGAATTTAAAAAAATCATAGCTGCATATGATGGCACACTCCTATAATCCCAGGACTTGGGAAGCTGATGCAGGAGAATCACTTCGAGTTCCAGGCCAGCCTGGACTGCCTAATGAGTTCAAGGCCAGCTTGAACTACATAGCAAGACCCTGTCTCAAAAAAAGTTTTGCATTATGTACTTTAAAAAATATTAATAAAAGAAGATAGGAGCCAGGTGTGGTGGCACACACCTGCAATCCCAGCTACTCAGGAGGCTGTGACAAGCAGATTGCTTGAGCCTAGACATTCAAGACCAACCTGGGCAGCATAGAGACCCTGTCTTCAAAAAAGTGACAGGGCGGGGATCAATATTAATACCATTAACATAATTCCTTGGTACTCAATGAGAAGAAGCATTGAACCCAGGGCTTTTGCACTGAGCCACACCCCAGCCCCTTTTTTTGTTGTTTTGAGACAGGGTTTCTCTTAAGTCACTCAGGCTGCCTCAAACTTTTGATCCTCCTGCTTCAGTCTCCTGAGTAGCTGGGATTACAGGAGTATACCACCACACAGAGCTATTTTAAAATTTTTAAGTGAAAAAGAAAACAGGAAATGGGTTAAAGCATCTAGAAAAAACAAAGCATAGTTAGCCCTGCTTCTCTCTCACAGTGGGCACCTGGTGGGCCCTGGGCTTACTTCATTCCTTGCACACAGACCTCATTCCCTGCTCCAAACTTACTGCTCATAGGACCCCTGCCTATTTATTTCCCCTCAGGACTGAGCACTGAAGGCATCTACCGAGTCAGTGGGAACAAGTCAGAAATGGAGAGTCTGCAGAGACAGTTCGACCAAGGTAAGGTGCCCTGGCCAGGCCTGACTACTGGAGCCAGGCAAGGGCAAGGCAGATGCCACGGCTGCACTGCCCCAGGGGCCTGCAGCTGTTCCTACAAAGCCACGGCCAGGGTCAATAGCCCAGAGATGGAGGAAGAGGCCACCCATGGCCAAGGCCGAGCCACCATGCCGGGCCACCCCTGCACCACTGTACACAGACGCTGCTCCAGGTGGCCTGGCTGGGGATGTGACACAGAAGTCAGGTGAGGTAAGGTCCTGTTTGCCAGGACCTGGGAGCGCCCTCACCACCACTGGAGAAAGGTGTAGGGTGCTGGGCTGAGCCACACTGACTCTCAGCATGGTCCCTCTCCTAAGCTTGATCAGCCAGGCGATCAGACTCTACCTGTGGAGTGAGAAGCCACACCTGCCCGTGCCAAAAGCCAACAGCCCAGAGCAGCAAAAGTTCCCAACAGTCAGTGGCCAGGGAAGGAGGCCAGCGGAGGGCCACAGAAGGGAGGTCTGAGGGGTGCAGCTGGGAGCAGAGCCCCCACCACACACCTCACATGCCACTGTCAGCCCAGCTGGCAGCGGGCCGGAGTGAGCACACAGGAGTGGGAAGTGGCGGTTGCTCTTGCAGTCTGGACACTAAGGTCAGGTGAGGGTGGAGGGACTGGGCTATGGCTCAGTGGTGCAGTGCTTGTTTAGTGTGTGTGAGGCCTGGCGTCCCATCCCTGTCACTGCAAAAAGAATGAAGGCCGAGCCCTACCACACAGGTTACTTTTACAGTCTCCTGTCGCTGAAGGTGAGGGACACGTTTTGAGAACTGCATTCTTAACTGTTCTGTCACCAGGAGAGCATTGCAACCCAGACTAAAACAGCCACGTCGTCACTAGGTGGTACATCTCGTGGGACCAGTCCCACGTGCTGCTGACTGGAATGTGGTTAGGTGGCTCGTGACAAGAGCAGCAAGAGTCTAAACAGGTCGAAGCTCCCCAGATGGTGTTTTTTTGGTGTTTTTTTTTGGTTCCGGGGATCGAACTCGGGACCTTGCACTTTCGAGGCAGGCGCCGGAACCACTGAGCTAAATCCCCGGCCCTTAGCTCCCCAGATGGACTCTTGGCAGTGCCTGTCAGTAGACGCTTTCTACATGATGAGGGATTCAGGGGAAGAAGGCCAGAGATGAGATCAGTGGGGCTGTGTCATCTCCTAAGTTCTGCAGCCACGGGGCACAGGGATGGACAGGCAGTCATCGGGATGGCCGTCACGCTCTTTAGTGAGCAGCCTTGCAGCAGTCTCCTCCCTTCCTCCCAGGGAGGGCAGTGAGGATAGGCAGCCCCACACTGCTGCCAGTGAGGGAGGCAGGTGGGCGGCTCAGAGACACAGTGGTGCAACCACCTACCCAAAGGGCTGCAGATCCAGCAACCTTAGAAAGTGGCCTTGGGGGTCACTTGCCTCCTCCAACCACAGATCTCTTTTGTTTTCCTGTGTATGGTACTGGAGATTGAACCCAGGGCCTTCATGCTGTCACAGCCCCAGCATCCCTCCCACTTCAGATGGGGTCTTGTTCAGTTACTTAGGAGGCTGGACTTGAATTTAGGATCCTTCTGCCTCAGCCTCTCTTGAGTGCTGGGATAACAGGTGTGCGCCACCTGCCCACCCTCAGACTCTTTGGCAGCATTTCACACATGCCACCTCCTCCCCAGTCCTTTTGAATCCTGAGTTTCTGGCCAGTATCCCCAGAGCCCCAACCTTTCCCTGGCCTCTCCCAGGCCTTGAGTGGCCCTATTGTTTCTGCCTAGCATAGATTGGTCCAGCCTCACTTCTCCTGACTTCCTTTCAGACCACAACCTGGACTTGGCAGAGAAAGACTTTACAGTAAACACTGTGGCTGGTGCCATGAAGAGCTTTTTCTCCGAACTGCCAGACCCTCTGGTCCCTTACAACATGCAGATTGATCTGGTGGAGGCACACAGTGAGTACCGATGGCCCAGGGTCTGGGTGCCCAGGCAGGTGGGTGGAGCAGGGGTGTGGCACTGTACTGACAGGTCCTTCCCTCAGAAGAGATGTGCTCACCTTGGCACTGAGGTTGGACCGGCCACGAGAGAGGAAGTAGCGGCGGGCCCAGGCACCTTCCCACTAGGCCCCACCTTGGCAGGCCGCAGGTGCAGGTCTAAGGGTCTACCAAGCTCTGTTCGTGGAGTACATGGTTTGGGTGCCTGACCTGACCAGATGCCTGCTCCTTTGCTTATGGATAGCAAACCCACTTGGGCCTGGGAGTCAGCTGCTGCCCTTACCGTCCCTGCTGTGGGTAAAGGGAGGCTTGGGAAGGTCTAGGCGCAATGTTAGCCAGGACTGATTTTGTAGTGGGTTTTCCTCACCCCTTTCCTTCCCTCTGTCTTCCCACCCTTTGTGGGAGGGAGGCAACGTGTTGTGAGGCTGTACACCTCTTAAGCCACCTCTGGAGGGAAAGGGACGTTTCCAAAGGCCCAGCCAGATGTTTCCTTGGCGCTGCAGCACACTCGCCCACAGGTTGCAGTGGCGGTTTCTAAGTGCCATCTCACCTGACCTCTTGGAGCTCCCCCATGGACGCAGTACCTTTTCTAGCCAAAAGCAGCTTCTAACTTCACCCCTCTGTAGGGCCAGGACCCAGAAGCAGCCATTGCTGGGCACCTGCAGAAGGGAGTTCCCTTGCCAGCTGCCCAGAGATGGCCTGGGAAGAGAAAAGGAGATGTGCTCCTCAGGCCATGGGGCATTAGGCTCATCTTGTCACTGCCCAACTCAGAGGAGGGGTTTGAAACAAGCAGAGCTTACCCACAAGGTCAGTAGTGAGGCAGAACTTTTACAGGTTAGAGCTCAGTTCCCCTTAGGTCTGGCTCCCAGATTCTTGGTGGCCTCTAATGGAAGCAGGTGCTAAGGAAGCCCACCCGTAAGCTGAGGAGGCTAATGAGCTGCAGCCCCTGCCCTGCCTTCAGGGTCATCTTTCCAGTGTCTGCCTCTCCCTGAGTGTTTGTTTCCACAGTCTACATGCCACTCTTCCCTTCTGCCCATACGGCCAAGCCAGATAGAATTAGTTGGTCAGAGCTCCTATCCTCAGGTTACCCTTACCCACCAGGGACAGGGCAAGTCTGCATCATGCTTATGGGCCTGTCACCGGGCCTGGCCCTCCTTCCCACTACCTCTGAAGACAGAGGAGTTAGAGGTGGGGACACATGCTGGCCTCTCCTGCAGCCTCCAGTGGAAAGCACAGGGAGTCTCTGGAGCAGGCCCTCTCAGCCCATCGCCCAAGCTTGTCTGAACAAGAGTTCGGAAAGGTGTGGCCTGGTCCCCTCTCTCTGGAAGCCCCAGGCCTCTCAGCATTCATCTTGCCTTGGCGCCATCTAGAGGCGTGCAGGATCCTGGCAAGCCATTGTCTCCAGGGGAAGTGCTGACAGGGCACCTTTTTTGGGGGGGAGGCGCTACTGATAGGGAAACAGCCGCCCTTCCTACAGCGCCGCTTCATGGGGCCGCTGCTGAAGAGGTGGCTGCTTGCATTTCTCCTGCAGCAGCCTGGAAAAGGGTGGAGGTTTTCAGCTTCCTCTTCCCGTTGTGTGTTTCCTGTGTCCACACTAGTCAGCTGGGGCTCCTCTGTAGTCTTGGACCTGGCAGAAGGGAGTGGGGGAGGAGGGCTTTCACTGTCATGGCCCCTCTCACAGCCAAAGTAACCGAGGGATGAGTGACTGTGGCTCTGTAGGCTGTGGGTAGCTGAGCCAGAGACACGAGGTAGTGCAGAAGTTAAGTGTCAAGGGACATCGTGCCCGAATGTAGCTATTTCCAGACTGGCTGTGTCTCCATGGCAACATCAACTTGACCAGCTCCTTCCACTTAATACCTAAGAGCAGCTGTGTCTGTGGGTTGTGGCTTGGGCCTGCTTTCACATCTATCACCACAAACACCAAGGTCGCTGTCTAATTGTTCTGTTAGCAACAGAATTTCACAATATTGAACATTGTTGAAAATGTGCCCACAAGTAGAGGTTTTGCAATTATTCACCAGTTATCTTCCTGCCACATTCAGAATGATGTAGGGGATTGAGGAATGAATGGCAGCAACAGCCAAACCTCACTCGTGTGCTTGCAGCATGCTGGCCTGGCTCTCTGCAAGGCAGCAGCCCTGAGGTGCTGGGTGATGCCTCAGTTTACAGAGGAGGAAACTGAGGCTCTCAGAGCACAACCTGGCTTGAGCCCAGGACCACCCGGCTGGGAAGTGGTGGTGGTGCTAGAGTCCCTGCCCTCTGGTTCACAGTGATGTTCTCTGCAGACAGAATGAGGCAGGCAGCACGGCAAATAGGGAGTGAGGGGCGTCCTGAGCTGGACCAGGTCCAACCAGGACCAGGACTCCAGGAGGCAGAGGAGAAGGCTTTGTATAGCCCATCTCTGCCCTGCCCATATCGTACCCTGGCCTGGGAATAATTCTTGTCCTAGATCTGCCTTCTCCTCTCTCTCTATCCCACCTCCTTCCCTATTCCCAACCCTGCCCATCCAGTCCTCCAGCCCTGTGTGACAGTTTTTGTTCATTGGGGTTCCTAGAGCTGGCTCTGTCCCAGACCAGAAGTTCTGGGCTAAGGACTTAGCCCCAGTGCCCTCAATACCCCTCAAAACTGCTTGTAAAGTTGCATTTTCTTAGTCTAGGGAGAAGGCCAGTAGCTTGACCAGATTGTTTGGGGGAAGTGGTTCAGGATACTGGCTTATCACCCTATCCTTCCTCTTTGCTGAGACAACGTAGGCCAGAGAAAAGACCGATTGCCAAAGTCAGCAGGCAGACAGCTCTGCTGCCCTTGGGGTTCTTGTTCTTATGCTGCCTTGGGACATTGTTGATTCTGGGACACTGCCTTCCTCATGTCTGACCCTCTCTTCCAAGCACAGGTTTATAAATTTCACAGATACTCCTATGTGCCGGCCCTATGTGAACAAGGGCTATGGCAGTGGACAGTGAATATGTGGTTCCCTCCTCAGTCTGGTGGGGCAGGGACGCTGAACATGTTGCAAAGTCTCCTCCAGAGGGACAACCTGAATTTCCATTCCAGCCCCACATAGTGAGATCCCAGCCTGGCCTTGGAGTCACCAGCCGCCTGGGGGAGAGGCCAAGCTGCCCACTGGCTGCCTGCACACCTAGCTACTGAAAGCCTGTGACCTTGAGCCAGGCTGTTTCCTTTTCTTGTGATGTGGGTATGCAGGGTGCTCCAGGCACTGAGGGGGCAGCAGCAGATCCAAGCTGAGCACTGGCTTGGCAGGCTGGGGTCAAAGACAGCAGGCTGCCAGGGCAGGGACCCTGCCACCAGTCTGGGTGACCTAGGGCCAGTTTTTGTACCTTTTTGAAGCCCTGGTTTGTATTGTGCATGGTGTCTCTGAGGTCGCTGGTGGCCTCTGACTATTCCCACCACTTCCTCCTGAGTTACTGGGGTCTCGAGGCTCTGTCCAGACTTCATCTGGCTCACCTGGGCCCAGAATGCCCCCTGCACCTTCCTTACTGTCTGTGTGGGGCCCCATCCCGGGAGGAGATGGCTGGAGGCATGGCTGAGATGGGAGCCTGGCCTAGCCTGGGGTCCCCTCCCACCTGCCCCATCACCAGCCTTTGACCTTAGTGTGACCTCTTAAGCATGCTTCTCAGCCAGCACAGGGGAAAGCCCAGCCTCCTTCTTTCCACTCAGTGCATGGTGAAGGCTCCCCAAGAGCAGCTGTGAAACAGTCTCACAGCAGCCCAGCCACCAGCAGGTGTAATGCCTCACTGGTGCCTTCTGCGCATGCAGAGGTCTAGGCCTAGAGTAAAGCCCTCCCCAAGAGGGCCCTGGGGGCCAGCGGTGAGCTCTGGGAAGGAGAGACAAATGAGGTCAGGCGGACAGGACATGGGCAGGGTTGGCCTTGTTCCGAGAGGCTGGCCTGGGCTTTGCCAGGACTCCCCTTCTCTCCCTGTGGTCTTCTCAGCCCTCCTGAGACCTGGCCAGGGCTGGGGGAAGGGAAAGGAAGAGCAAGACACTGGCCACCAGCCCCTTATCAGGCTCCAAGCTGCAGGGCTGGGCGGAGGGGGCTGGGCTTCCTCCAGTGGCTCCATTACTGCCCCAAGGAGGAAAGAGGAAGCCTCCGGCAGACTGTGGCCTAGCTAGCCCAGCTTCCTTTCTCAGCTAGGGTGGCTGAGACTCGGCTCTTATGTGAAGGTGCCACTCAAGGGCCGGACTAAAATAAACACAGCTGTGTTTGTGTCACACAGGCACCTACAGAGACCTGCACACCCGCATCGGGAAGGGGGGAAGATTATTTTATTAAGCAAAACTTGGAGCCATAGTACACATGCTTCTCAAATGATCTCCAACTTCCCTGCAGCATTTTACTTTGTTTTTGTTTGTTTTGTTTTGTTTTGTTTTGAGACAGGGTCTCCCTATGTAGTCCAGGCTGCCCTTGAGCTCGAGGGGATCCTCCTACTGCAGCCTCCCAAATTCTGGGATTACAGGTGTGCATCACCACACCCGGCTTGAATTTACTTTTCCTAGAAAACTTCATTGATACATAATAAAGGCTGACAAGAACCTGCTGTTGAGATTGAACCCTTAAAATGAATCTTGGGTTCAGAGAATGAGTCAGATCATAGTTGTACATTATTTCCTGTAGATTTTAGTCATTTTCTAACATGCTCCTCTTACCAACCCCCACTGTCACACCAAAACTGTGCCTGGTCTCAGGCCCCCTCGCACAGCTCCTGGCCCAGCTCTTTCCTGGTGCCTTGCACACGGACAGCTCCCAGGTGCTCATCTTGTGTCTAGCCCTGAGCTCTGTCCTTGACTGACATGCTGGTGTCCCTGTCCAGGGCCACACAGGTGTGTAGTGTTAGAAGATTGGTACCCAGGACCATTTGAGTTGGAATCTGGGCTCTGAACCTCCACACAACCTTTCTCCCTGCTCAGCCCTGCCCAACTAGCACCGAGCTCCTGCATGACCCTCCCTACCATGTCCCTCCAGGCATGTCATCTGCTGCAGAGGTTCTTACCTAAGAGGCCATGGCCTACCTCAAGAACACATAGCATGGCTGGGCATGGTGGTACACACCTGTAATCTCAGAGCTCAGGAGGCTGAGATAGGAGGATTACCACGAATTCAAATTTGAGGCCAGCCTGGGCTACATAGTTCAAGGACGGCCTGAACTGCATAGTGAGACCCTGTCTCAAAAAAAAAAAAAAAAGGAAAACATGGAGGATTCATAACCCTCCAGGAGTCTGGGACAGGAAGGTCCATGGCATGGTTGTGGGGAAAGCCTGTGTGCCTAAGCCCATTGGGAATCATTGTGGTTCTTAAGCCCCCCAGGGAGGCCTGGACTTCAGCTACAGATGCCCACTGTCTCCCTCGGGGCCCTCTAGCGGCCTTCCTGAGCCCTGGTGTGCTAGAGCTCCCTTTCTGTCCGAGGAGCTCCAGGGCTCTGTCCAGGGCAAAGAGCTCTGTCTTGGCCGACCATGGCTCAGGTGGGCTCTGAGCTAGTTCTGCTTCACAGCCAGGATGGGCCAGGCCCCTGAAGGAGGGGTACCAAGACACCAGGGAGCCACAGCTCAGGCTCCACAGCCAGCCAGTCACCCTTCCACTGCCAGCTCTGCCACCTGGGGCGCCTGATACCTTATGCTCCAGATGTGATGGGAATCATCCTGCCTCCAAATTCTGACTGCATTGGGCCTGGCACGGTTACGTACTTTCTTCAGGGCAGCCTGTTTCCCTCTCCTGGGACATTACAATTCCCTGATGGGCAATGTGTAGGCGGCAGTGGGGGAAGGGGGTGCCAGCCCCTTTTGATGAGCTGCCTAAGAATTCCCCTACTGTTTCTACCAGCTCCTTCTACCAGACAATGTATGGAGCAGGCTCCTTGGGTCCTAGGGAAAGGACAGAGCCCTGGTCTTTTGGCAGGCTCCCTCCCTACACGTCTGCTGGCGTGGGTGTGTGGTTAGGAAGCAGCCAGTCTTTCTGCATTGGGATGCCTGTCTCCAGGGGCAACCGAGGGGTGAAGAATGGCGTTCTTTATGGTGGAGTCTCTGGATGGTTCCGTCTCAGGTGGGGGGCCAGGAAGCCCCAGCGCACAGTGCTGCACTTCAGTAGGGGCCTGGGACACAGAGGTGAGCCTTGCTGCTGGGCTCGTGCCACTGCCAGGTGTGGCAGCTGTGGGCACAGGCTTTGGAGAGAAGGCCAGGGTTGGCATGTCTGAAAGCCCTACAGAGGGTATCCGGAAGTGGCCCCCAGTCCATGCATGGGTTCCACCTCTTAACCACAGGACACCCAACCAGCTATGATCATAAAAGTCCGATTTTCTCTCTCCTCAGAAATCAACGATCGAGAACAGAAGTTACACGCCCTTAAGGAGGTGTTAAAGAGGTTCCCAAAGGAAAACCATGAAGTCTTCAAATATGTCATCTCTCACCTGAACAAGTAGGTTGTAGGGCTTTCTGGCTGTTTTTCCTCCTGAGGGAAAGGAACAGCCAGGGTCAACTAAGAGCTGTTGCCAAGGCTCCCTTCTCAGCCTGGTGTGGGGTCGGACCCAGCTGGCAGCATCAGAGATCTGCCAGGGATGCTGCTCAGCTTCCTCCCTGGGTCCTCACAGCAGCGCATCCTCGGGTCTCTATCCTGGTGCAGAGAGGCCCTTGTGGCCCCAACGTGCCCAGCACCAGGTAGTGCACATGGCTTCTGCTGAGCTTACAGGGCACTTTGTGAAGCCTGTGCCCTTGTGCCCCCAAGACAGAGGACAGGAAAGATTCTCAGTGGGTGCTGGTACCTCCAGGAAAGGGTCCTAGCAGCACCCACAGTCCTCTCTATTTCCACTCCAGGAGGGGCCTGCCGAGAGCAAGCTCACGCCTCTGTGCTGGAGTGCGGCGCTGCTGCAGGCAGGACAGCTGCTCTCAAGGAGCTGCCACCCAGAGTGGCTTGCTGGCAGCTGGCAGTGTTACTTACATAACTGAACTGTCTAGTGAGCTGTCCAGCCCAGGCTCCCTGGGGCCGTGTCTCAGGGCTCCACAGAGGAGTGGCCCTGGGTTATCACTCAGGCGGAGTGAGGGTGGCAGGCAGGGAGAACAGCCTGGTGACAATTGGGAGCACGTGTGGGACGGGGCAGGGACCTGCGCAGCTCTGACTGGGTTTGATGTCACCTGCAGAGTCAGCCACAACAACAAGGTGAACCTCATGACCAGTGAGAACCTCTCCATCTGCTTCTGGCCCACGCTGATGAGGCCGGATTTCAGCACCATGGACGCGCTCACGGCCACGCGCACCTACCAGACAATCATCGAGCTCTTCATTCAGCAGTGCCCCTTCTTCTTCTACAACCGGCCCATCAGTGAGCCCCCGGGTGCCATGCCCAGCTCCCCCTCTGCGGTGGCTTCCACCGTCCCTTTCCTCACCTCCACGCCTGTCACAGGCCAGCCGTCACCCCCTCAGTCCCCACCCCCCACCCCCCAGTCCCCGATGCAGCCTCTGCTCCCCTCCCAGCTGCAAGCCGAACACACTCTGTGAGCCACTAGAACCTGGGGCGACAGGAGAACCAGTCTTCTCTCTGACGGGGCGGCATTTGGCCTTGGACAAAACCAAGTCGACAGGGCAGGGGCCAAAGGTCCCCCTCCCCTGTCACCTTCTCAAGACCTGATCAGTGGCACCAGCCAATGGTCCCCCACAGACCAGGCTGTCAGGCACCCGAGCCCAATACTGCAGGCCTGGTGGCTGCAGGCAGCGCCGTGGATGGGCCCTGCCCTCTGACGTGGACCACTGGGGACCAGCCCAGTCAGGCACTGCTCCCCATACCACTGCCACTGCACGCCTCTGCACATGCCAGCCTTGGGGTGTCACCTGCTTCTGCGGTGCCCGCTTCTGGGACAGATCCCGGCCTCTGCCTGGGGAGCAAGGAGTTCTGAGATGAGGCTGCCCAGCCAGCTGCACCCTAAAGAGAACACATCCCAACTGTCTTGTCTCCTCCCACCTTCGCGTCTGCACACACGCTGGGGTGAGGGGTCCCTGGGAGCATGTGGGCCATGCAGGGTGTCTGCCCAGCAGATAGAACTACAGGAGGAGAACTTTGAGCCTGGACCGAGAGGGTGTGCCTTCCCCCACCCAACCACCCACTTCAGGACTTCTGGACACATTCCCTTCCCAGCAGAGCAACACTGGAAGGAGATGGAAAGGCTCCTCCAAGAGTGAAACAGATAAGGAAAACACCCAGAGAACACTACAGACCTCAAGGTTCCAGCCCTGCTGGGCAGGCAGGTGGGAGCACCCTATCTGTGACAGCAGACAAGGATGCCCATGGCCCAGCCTGCAAGCCTTTGGGTCCCGCTTACATCCTCTTAGCAGACCCCTGGCCCTAAGAAGATGGTTTGAGCCCTCGGAGAAGCTGGCAGTGGGACCAAGCTGGCCCCGGGCTCCTGACACTACACTTCAGAAACACTACTCATGGGTGCCCAGTCTGGCTTAGGGCTTGGGGTTGGCTGGGGAAGGCCACAGCAGGAGTGTCTGGTACGTGGGCTGGCATGGGGCATTGAAGAAATGGTGATCCTTGCAGCCTGCACAGGAATCCTTTGTGCAGGGCTCAGAGGAGCTGAGGGCACTGAGTATGTCCCTGCCAGTCACCACCAGCCTGGCCCTCCCGGACACCCCCGTGAGCCCCTCCCACACCTCCCTCCATCCCCAGCACAGCAATTCTGCTGGATGGCTGTTCCCACTGCCCAAGGGTCCAGCCTCATGACTGGGCCCCCACCTAACACTAAGGTCCCTGGGCATGGGAGTGTGGGGCAGAGGGCCCTGCACCGCCCCGCCCCGGGTCCTGTCATTGCACTTTAGGAGCAGCTTATGTGGCAAGTTCCGAGGGGCCTGGCGGGGAAGGAGGAATGTCCCCCACCTGCACCTCCCATCCAGCCCCTTCCCCCCCAGGTCCCCCCTTTGGATAAGCTGGCTGTGTCTCCAGTCCTGGTGGCCAAATAAGGTGCTTGGCAACACTAACTTAGCCTGCAATTGTACCACCCTCCCAAGAACACGCATCCAAATCAAGCCCGAGGTACAGACCCCTGTGGAGATGTGGGTGGTGGCTCTTCTCCCCTCCACCGGGCCCTGGGCTGGAGGTGGGGCAGGTATCCTTTCAGCTGAGGTTGGCACACCGGACTGTGGCTCTCAAACTCCTGCAGCCTGAGCCTGGGTATCACTTAAGTTCTCTACTTCTTAGTCTTGCTCTTCCAAGGAGTTGGAGTGGCAGGGGACTTGGGGCTGTTGCTTGTATGAACAGGGGCAAAAGCAGCCACATCCAGCGCTGGGCCAGGCCGTCATCCCTGGGGCTGCTGCGTTCTCCTAGGGCAAGGTGCCAGGGCCTCCTGCCTGCAGAGCCCCCATCCAACCTGGCTTCTGCTTTCTCTGCCACCGTCTTAGCCTCTCACTTCCTGCTTCTCCAGGCTGAGGCCCTGAGGACAGACAGTCACTCTGCCACAGTGTGGGCCCTGAGCTTCACCTCTGGTCGGCTGGTCAGGTTGGCAAGCTTCCGCGGGGCCTCGGGCTGCACAGCCCACCCACACCTGTGGTGGCCAGCAGGGTCTCTGTCCAGGACAGCTGAGTGGGGCAGTCGCTGCCCCTGCCCGTGACACCCTGGGTGATGAGTCAAGTCCAACTCTACTCTGCTTGGCCCCCAGCTGCTGCAGGGAGGGTTGGCCTGTGTCACAGTGTTAGCACGCACCGCTTCATTCTGTCACACCCCATCACTTGGCATTTCCTGGCAGAACACAGGTCTGTGCTCTGGCAGAGTGTTCGGTGAGGGTGGCCTCACAGGAGCGGCTCTCTCCTGGCCTGAGGGGAGGGAGCCCTGGTGGCTGCCGACCCCCTGGTAGACAGCCTCCCTGGGCCCTGTGCCTCAGCCCCCGAACCTGACGGTAGGTCAGCTTCAGCATCTTGTCATCGAGTCATCTGTGGCTGTGCTCCCTCTCCTGTCTTGGGGGCAGAGCTGCACTGCACTAGCAGCGGTGTTCCAGGAAGGTCCCTTTGTCCAGGGCAGTCAGTGAAGGAAGCTGCAGGTGTGTCGGCTGGCAAATGGCTGGGCTGTGCTTAGGGAAGAGGACGAACTGGGCATCCCAGGCCCTCTCAGCCCCTCCCCTCAGAGCCATCTGGGCTGGCCCCTGCTGGGCCCTCCTGGCCACCCTGTCACACTCAACCACAGCTTTCCGCGCAGTGAAGACAAGGCGTAAGTTATTGTTTGCATCAAGGAATCATGTTTCCTGTGTACATTTTAAAAAGAAATGTCTCCAAATTGTATGGGAATAAAACTTGTTTGAAAATTCGGAATAGTGCTGCTGCCAGCTTATTTTTCTGGTACTTGTATTTTCACATGTTAAATGATCTTTATATATGTTGAATTAACAAATATTTTGAGTTTCTTGAGAAAAACAAATGCATATTAATGGTATTGAAATGTGTAGTAGTCTGGCCGTGTGCCCAAAATTGTTTCACAGCAAAAGTGGAGAACTGTATGTAAAGAAAGTATAACAGTTATTTCTTGTATTTTAGGGGCTTTAACCAGCACCTCTTCTAGTTGGTGTTAGGAATGTTGGCTTAATTTCCACTTTTTTCTTTAACACGTCGTGGTTTTTGAGGCTCCAACCTGATTAGTGCATGGTCAGCCCTCACGAAGGCTGAGGCATCTCTGAAGGAGGTGTTTTTGTTTGGTTTTGTTTTTTAAAATCATGTATTTGCTACCAAGTATTGTACTTGTCTCAATGGGAATGGTGTAAAAAACTGAAAAGGCCTTATGTGAAATGTATCATAGTTAATAAATCAATCTTGTAAAAAACCAAACTGGAGAGATGCCCCCCCCAGCCCCCAAGGGCTGCCTTCTTCCGGGTCCCTGCATCCGGAGCGCCCCGCTCAGGGGTCAGGGGTCAGGTGTCCCGGTGTCTGTGCCTGTGCTTGCCCGGGGGAGTGAGGCAGTGAGGGCCGCGGTGCAGAAGGAGGCGGAGGTTGAGCACAAACCTGGTGCTGGCGCCAGGGGCAGAGACCTGGGGTCTGGAAGCAGAGGGATACAGTCCCTCCTGCCCCCCACCACCACCCAGGACGGCTCCCAAAGAAACGCTGCCGCTAGAAACAACCCCTTAGCAACCACCACTCCTAGCCTCCCCCTCCTTCCCTGCAGCACATCGCACCCAGGGAGCTTTTCATACTCAGCATCCCGAGTCTGCCAGGCTCCCCAGTGCCTCCAGAGGATGCCCAGATCCTCCCTCCTAGGGTCACAGCGCCCTCTGTGCTCTCTGCCCTCTGCCTCGGGCCAAGGCCCGCCCACCTCAGGCCATTTGCTGCTCTGCTGCCTCCTCCCGCCACACTGTCCTCCCACCCATCCACCAGCCCATTCCCTCCTCTAGCCCTAACCCTGACCTCTAGGCTAATAAGATTCCTTTGCTGTTGAAGGAGTTCTCTACTAAAACTACTCTAAGAAATATCAAAAAAATAAAAGTTCAAGGGCCGGGGATTTAGCTTAGTGGTTCCGCTGCCTGCCTCACAAGCGCAAGGTTCCGAGTTCGATCCCTGGTACCAAAAAAAATAAAAAACGAAAGTTCAAGCCTCACATAGTGACGCACGCCTGTGATCCCACCACTGGGGAGGCTGAGGCAGGGGGAGTGCCGTGAGTTGGAGGCCAGCCTGGGGTACATAGCGAGACCCTGTCTCAAAAAATAAACAGGCCGGCGATTTAGTTCAGTGGTTTCGCCGCCTGCTGCGCAAGCGCAAGGACCCGAGTTTGATTCCCGGTACCAAAAAAAAAAAGTTCGAGCTACTCCTGGTGGCGCACACTTGTAATCTCAGTACTGTAGGAGGCTGAGGCAGGAGACTAGCTTGAACCAGTGTAGGCAGTTTATCAATTCAGCAAGACTCTGTCTCAAACTATCAATCAATCAATAAATAAATGATAGCTAAATAGGTAGGGATGGAAATGTAGCTCAATGCAAAGGCTCTGGGTTCAATGCCCAGTATCGAAATAACTTCATGATAAAAAAAAAAAAATCAAGATTCAACAGAGACGAATCCGTAAGAGCACAGCGAGCTGTCCTGGAGCCTTAGGCAGGTGGGCAGGAGGAGCAGGAGGAGACCAGGAGCTCAGGTCGGAAGCCGAGGTGGGTTCCGCCAGAGCGAGTCAGTACATGTGGAGGAGGCGGGGCTCTGGATGTCTTGGAGGTAGAGGCGACAGAGTTGGTCAAACATAGAAGATCCATTATTCCAAGCTGGGAGCGAACCTGTTCCAGGCCAAGGCCAGGGCAGAGTGCGCTGCGTTCCTCCTTGTGGCCACCAGGGGGAAGCAGAGCGCCGCCCTGCCCAGCCTGGGCTGGGGCCGAGGGGAGCCGGGATTGGCGGCTCCTGAGAGCGGCCGGCCCAGAGCAGCGGGCACAGAGTGGTGGCGGATGCAAGCCGCGCGTCCCGAGGGCCGGCCTAGGATCCGGAGCAGGACCCGCCGTTCCTGCCGCTTCGTCCATCAGTCCATCCACCCACGCTTCCATTCAGTCTCTCAGGGCCTCGTAGGGCGAGAGTAAGTTCCAAATTCATCTCCAGGCACTGGGGAGCCACGGAGGAGGCTTGAGCAGCAGGGAATCTTGGCCTGAGGTGGAGGAGCTCGACTGAGGAGAAAGGAGGGATTTGAGAGCCACAGCGCATGAGAGCCCTGCCTCTGCGAAGGGACTGGGGGGTTACCAGAAATGTAGCAGTGTCCCTCACCCCCGAACTGGGGACTGACCCCAGGGCCTTGGCGCTGAGCCACATCCCCAGCCTATCACTGAGTTGCCCAGGTGGCCTCGAACTTCCAGTCCTCCTGCCTCGGCCTCCTAGCAGCTGGGATTACAGGTGTGTGCCCTTGACTCCCACTTCTGAAGACACCTTTGGCCACCAGGCAGGGAATGGGCCCTGGAGGGCTGACAGCGACCTTTCAGCCTCTCAGCGGGGAGCAGGGGAGGAGGAAGGTGCAGGCCAGGTGAGGGGAGCCCTGCGGAGGCAGCTGAGGGACTCGTGCCTGGCTATGGTGCGAAAGGGAGGAGCGTGACTCCCACTGAAAACCTGCAGGGTGGCACTGCCAGCGGGGCCTGGTGGCCCGCACCTGTAATCACAGCCAGAGCTCTGGGAGGCTGAGGCAGGAGGATCGAAAGTTCAAGCCCAGCCTGGGCTACTTAGTGACTTAGCAAGACCCTGTCTCAAAATTTAAAGGGGGCTAGGATGTAGTTCAGTGCAGAGGCCCTGGGTTCAATCTCCAGTACTGCAGAAAATAGTTAATAATCAATTAGGGGCCGGGGATTTAGCTCAGTGGTTTTGCCACCTGCTGCACAAGTGCAAGGACCTGAGTTCGATCCCCAGTACCAATAATAATAATAATAAAAAGAAGAAGAATAAATTAATTAAAGAAGTCCTGCGGGGGCAGGGATTTAGCTAAGTGGTGCCAAGCCTGCCTCCAAAGCATGAGGTCCTGAGTTCAATCCCTAGCCCCCCAAAAAATAAATAAATGCAATAAAGAAGTCCTGTGGCCATTAGCACCTGCCCTTCCTCAGGCATCCTACCCTATGTCTGTCTCACCATTCCCGAGGCCAAAGCCCAGGCTGCTTTCTGCCCAGGCTAGAGGGGCGCCTGGCCCCTGCCCTGCCGGCTTCTGAGCTCCCTGCAGCGCTTCAGTCCCTGGTCCTCAGCCTGTGTCTCCCTCCATGGCCTGCACCCCTGCCTGCATTCCCCTTCGTGTGTGTGTGTGTGTGTGTGTGTGTGTGTGTGTGTGTGTGTGTGTGTACATGCAGCACTGGACTGAACCCAGGCCCTTCACACTGACCCACAACCATATCCCCCAACCCTTCTTTATTTTTTGTTTGCAGACATCTCACTAAATCAGGCTGGGCTCAAACCCTTGATCTTCCTGCCTCCGACTCCCAGAGTGCCAGGATCACAGATTCTCACCACGTTGCCAGGCTTCCCCTTCCTCTAAGGACAACAGTTGGATTGCTTTAGGGCCCAGCCTAATGACCTTGTTTTAGCTCAGTCACCTTTGTTGAGACTCCTCCTCACCTTCTGAGGCATTGGGGGTCTGGACTTCTAGGGTTTGGGGCAAGCACAGTTCAGCCCACAGCCCCCAACTCCCTTCTGATTACTATGAACTGCATCCAACCACACTGTACAAAACACATCTTCCAGGTCTAAACAATAACAGTAACAGCTGGGGATTTAGCTCGGTGGTTCTGCCGCCTGCCTCATAAGCACAAGGTCCCGAGTTCGATCCCCAGTACCAAAAAAAGAGAAACAAAACAATAACAGTAACAGTGATAATTCAGTGGACCGTGTGAAGACCCCTGTGCATGGTGATCCGGGACTTAGGAGACAGAGACAGGAGGATCTCAAATTCCAGGTCAGCCTGGGCTAGGTAGCAAGACCCTGTCTCAAAAAACAAACAAACAAAAAATCACTGCTCCTGGATTTCACTTTGTAATCCAGGCTGGCCTTGAACTCACTATGGAGCCCAGGCTGCCCTCGAACTTGTGGCAATCCTCCTATCTCAGCCTCCTGAGTGCTGGGATTACAGGAGCATGCCACCATGTCCAGCTGAGATTCTATTTTTGAGGTCCGTGTGGATATGGGCAGAATTCACTCATTTATTCCGGGGCGAGGGGTACTGTTACTTACCCCCATTTCACAGATGAGAATAATGAGCCCCAGAGATCAAGCATACTGCCCAAGCTCACAGACGGAGCCAGAATTTGAACTGGAGCCATTTGAGGCTAAACTTGTGTTGTCCACAGCCCAACAGGGAGTGATGAATACATTTAAACCTGTGATTGGAGCCCCTCAAACACACACACACACACTCACTCATGCACACCAAAATGTTTGTTCCTCTCCTTGGTTTCCCCTCGTGACAGGGAACTCACTACCTAGAAATGGGCACACTGTCCTTCCCTCTCCCATCTCTTTCATCTGGGCTGCTTCAGGCATAGCAGAGCCTCCGTGGTTTGACTAGAAAATGTGAGCTCAGCATGGGAAGGACAAGGAGGGCTGACAGCAGCTGGGAGGTCGGGAGCTGGGCTGGGGAGCTGGGGCTCTCTCGGGCCTCCCGCCTGGCGCACTCCGCGCCCTGTGTCCACATCACCCCACGCCCCTGCCAGCAGGTGGCCCCAGAGATGGCGCAGGGGCTGCTGTCCCTCCACTCTCCCCAGCCTCTGGATTCCCTAGGCTGTGCCTGGAGCTCCTTGGGAGACACCAGGGTTCCTGGGGTAGGCGGGTGGGGCAGCCTGGTACCTACCCTGGCCGGAGGCTGTCATCAGGGCACAGAAATCAGAGGACGGCCACTCAGGTCACAGATGGGGCAGTGAGACCCAAGATTGGGGGAGGGGGGCGCGAGCGTGTGCGCGCAGATCCAGGCATGCGCAGTGCGGGTCCCGAGTGTTAGAATGGTGTCCACTGCAACCACTGTGTCAGGCGACGGCACCTCGGACCCTCTTTACAAGCCTGTTTTGGGGGTGCAGGTAGGTGGGGAAGGAACTCACACCCTTTAGTTCATCTCAGCCCTTTTTATCTCACTTTGAGACAAGAATTGCTAGGTGGCCCGGGCTGGGCTGAAGCTTTCAATCCTGCCTCAGCCTCCCTAGTAGCTGGGATTACAGGCCTGCAGCACAGCACTTGCCTGGAGTGGGAGTGTTGCTTAATTTTATGTTTTTGCTGTACTCCAGATCAAACCCTGGGCCTCGGACATGCTAGGCACGTGCCCTGCAGCTGAGCTACCCTCCAAGCACAGGCTGATCACGCTTTCTTTCCACAGTGCTGTAATTTTTTAATTTTTTATTTTCATTAATATGTGTTTGTAGTGCCTAACGACGATATTCCTCTGGGGACTGCATAACACATTTCAGTTCTTTTTTCCATTCCCTTCCCTCCCTTCCCTCCCTTCCCTCCATCTCTTGGTCCCCTTCCATTTTGAAAAAGATCTACCTCCTTGTTTCCTATTGTCTACCTTTTATTTTAAATTATTTATATTTTGGGTTTCTCATAAGAGAATCCATGCCATAGTTAAGCATGTGTGTCTGATTCTTATGCTGTTATAGAAGACTGCTAATGCTGGTATTTCGATGCATGCATGTAATCCCAGCACTCAGGAGGCTGAGGCAGGAGGATCATTGTGAGTCTAAGGCCAGCCTGTGCTACAGACCCTGTCTCAAAAATAAATAAATAAATAAATCCCTAAAAGCTTCTTTGTTTTATAAGGTACCAAATTTTTCCATATTCAAAATTAAAGCTGAAATGGTTTTTTTGCTTGTTTATTTGGGTGGTTGGCTTTTTGAGACAGAGTCTGACTATGTAGTTCAGCCTGGCCTTGAACTTACAGCGATCCTCCTACCTCAGCCTCCTGAATGCTAGGATCACAGGCATGCACACCTGGCTAAAGCTGAAAGTTTTGTTTGTTTGTTTTTTAAAGCTGAAAGTTTTTAAAAATAACACTCAAGGCCAGATGTGCTGATGCACACCTGTAATCCCAGCACTCAGAGGTTGAGGCAGGAAGATCACAAATCCAAGCCCCATCTGGGCCTCTTGGCAAGACTCTGTCTCAAAATAAAAAATAAAGAAGGGCTAAGAATGTAGTTTAATGCAAAACCCCTAGGTTAAGATTCAACCCCCAGTGCCAACAAAAATAAGCACATAAATAACTAAAATCTTTACAAGATAAATAACATATTTTATGAAAAATGGATTTTCCAATACAGAAAGAATTCAGTGAGAGGAGAGACCTTACTTTACACTGTCTCAGCTCTCCCTAATGTCCAGCCCCTGAGGGGACAGCTGGCTCTCCAGGGTGCTTCTGCAGTCCCCTTGGCCCTAGACCACACAGGCTCTGGAAAGCCCATGAGACACGAGTAGAAGAATAGAGGGAAAAACATAGAAAACCTCTCAGGATGAAAACATGGCCTGAGCCAGGCATGGCAGCACTCAGCTGTAATCCCAGCACTCAGGAGGCCGAGGCAGGAGGATCAAAAGTTTGAGCTCAGCCTGGGCAATTTATCGACTTAGTGAGACCCTGTCTCAAAATTTAAAAATTTTAAAAAGGTCTGGGCACGTAACTCAGAGCAAAGGCCTTGGATTCAACTAACTCAGAGTACCAACACACACCGAAAAGGAAAGACCTGTTCAAACCCTCCAGAACAGTCAGAGTGAGAGCTATGAAGTTATTTAATAGTCACAGGATGCTAGGCAGGGTTGGAGGATGAAATGTCCTCCTTTTACAGGGGAGAAAACCAAGGCCCAGGAAGGTGATTTCCTTAGTCAGAGTCACACAGCAGTAAGTGGCAGAGCTGGGGTTTTGTGGGTTTTTTGGTACCCGGGATCAAACTTAGAACCTTGGGATTGCGGGGCAGGCCCAGGGCCACTGAGCTAAATCCCTGGCAACCAGGCTCTTGCACTGGACAAAACCGGAGTGAGGCTGGAAGCGAGGATGAGTGGCACAACTCAGGGCACAGCCTCAGGCTGGCGTTGGGAGCCAGTGATCACAGGCTGAGTCCTCCCCTGACACCAGAATCTCTCTGGGGACACACACCGGGACAGGATTGGCCAGGAGACCACCATCGAGAGGCTGTGTGTCCCTTCCCCTGTGTCTGATTTCCTAGCTCTAAAATCGGTCCACACGGAGCCCAGGCAGACCTTACTGTGGAGCAAAGGACTCTGGGACATAAGCCCTCTCTCATGGTTAACCGTGCACCAGGCGTTCCTGTGCCTCGGTTTCCCCATCTGTCCAACCTGCGGCTCTGCCCATGCTCTTGGGAAGCCCCTGCCAGCCTCCCTCTCCTAGACCCCCTACCCATTTCTGTTCCCATTGGGCTCCCGAAGGGGCGTTTACTCATGAGTGCCAGGCAACTGGGAAGCCCTGGGCCCGGGCCAGGCGCCACACCCCTCAGTCCGCCTCGGAGCCACTGGGCAGCCCGAGGGCGGGTTCCAGTCCTTGCCGTGGGGCATGCAGAGGAGCTCCTGAGACCCGGGGTGGGGACGCTCCCCGCGCCAAACCCTGGCCCTGTAACTGAGGCAGCTACTAGCGTGAGGTCCGGGATCATTGGGAGGCGGTGCTGGGCCCGGGTTCCCCCACGCCTGGACCTTCGTCCCTGCAGGCAGAGCCGCGAGAGGCTCGGGTGCTGGGCGCCCTCCTCGTCCGGGGCTGCCGGGATTGCGGGGCAGCCGGGATTGCGGGGTTCCCGGGGGAGCTGGGTTCCAGATTCTTCCCCAGTGTGCTCATGGTGTCGCAGCTTCAGGGCTCCCATCCTGAGCTTCTCCTGACCCCTGAGGCTGCCGTGGGACTCGGGATTCGGACACCAGGGCAGCTGGGCTCCGTGTGGGGACCTCGACCCCGGAAAGCCGCGGGGGGCGGAGACTTGGTGGGTGGGGCTCCGCCAGGCCCCGCCCCGGCGCTGTCCGCGGTCTCCAAATCTGCGGGGCGGCGCTGGGCGCCGCTCACCGCTCACCGCTTGGGGTCTATGGCGCGGCCCCCTTACGCCGCCCCGCCTGCCCGGAGCCTACGCCGCCGCGACCAGGTAGCCGGGGCGGGGCCCGCGGGAAGGGATGCCTGGAGGCTTGGCAGGAGACGCAGGGGGACCCCTGGGTGCTGGAGGAGTGGGGACCCGCAGCTCTGCGTCCTGGGGGCTAAACTGTGGGGACGCCTTAATTCCCAGACTGGGAAAGGGGCTCCTGGCTGTGTGGGTCCAGGAGAAATAGAGGGGCCGAGGAGCCCAGACGCCAGGCAATGGGGCATCTGTGTGGACCTCTGGCTGGGAGGCTTGGGGTGTCCTGGACCCTGGCGTTAGGGAACAGGAAGCAGGGAGCCCCTACCAATCCAATCCCCCGGTTCTAGGGAAGCCGGCGCTCAGGTGCAGGAGGCCCTCCTCCAGGTGTGGGGCACATCCTGCGGGCACCCGGGGCCGAGGCGTCGGGGGCTGGGGCGCGCGCTGGGGTCTGCAGGGAGGAAGTTGGTGGCGGAGATTGGGAGCAGGGACACGTGGCGTCACCAGGAGGGACCGGGGTGGGGGTTCCCGGACCAGGGTGCGGGGCAGGGCCCTTGCGCTCCGCTCTCTCTCACCTCTGGGGTCCCGCGTGAGAAAGAGCGCCCCGCAGGTCTGGGAGTCAGAGGCCGGGGTGGGCTCAGGGGTGCAGGGCTGGGCCGCTGGGCCCGGAGGCGCCCGCCAGCCGCCCTCCGGCTTGGCGATGCCTGGCACGCAGCATGGTGCGATCCGTATGCGCGCCGCGTGCGCCCATTGGTATGCGGGAGCCGGCCCGGCGCGGGCGTGCGGCGGGCGCCGGCGGACGAGCGGGCGGGGGCGGTGGCCACGTCCTCCTCGAAGCTACGGGGGGGCTTTGGCGCCCAGCCCTAGGAAGGGAAAATTGAGGGGCGGCCACCCACTCTCCTCTCGGGGCCCCTGGACCCGCAGGGGCCTCAGTTTCCCCAGAGGGTCTCCCAGAGGCACTGAGCACCCCCCGGGACTCTTCCCCACTGCAGGAGTCGCGGGCCCCCGAGCCCGCCTGACCGGGTCCCGGAAATGGCGACCCCGTACCCCGGCAGCGAGGTCAAGTGCGGGGCGGGCCGTGGCGCCAGCGTCCCGTGGGACTTTCTGCCTGGGCTCTTGGTCAAGGCCCCGCCCGGACCCTGGTGAGCACAGCCCCGACACGGCCCCGCCCCCGACGCAGCGACCCCGCTGTTCCATCCCAGTCCCTCAGGAAGAGAAGGAACGCACTGCCAGCTTCTCCCCCCTCTCCCCCGGGCTGGAATTTCTCACCCTGACCTGTCCAGATCCCGGTCCCCTCCTGCGGGATTCATCCAGTCGTTCCTCGAGCTCGGCGGGGTGGCGCACGCCTGTAATCCCAGCACTTGGGAAGCTGAGGCAGGAAGATCGCCTCGAGTTTGAGGCCAGCCTGGGTTACATAGTGAGTTCAAGGCCAGCCAGAACTATATAATGTCTCAACAACACCAAAAAGAACTTACCCTACCATTCTTAACCCAAGGAGGACAAACATACCCCAGGTTCTGTCCCCAAGACCTGCGGGTACAGAATTCGCCCTCAGGTCTGCCCTCACGTCCGGAGGGTTGAGTCCGCCTGCAGCACCCGGTCCCCGCGTCCCCGAGGTCCCAGAGTCGGGCTCTCCCGCGAGGCCTCCTCCGTGCCACCCGCCCAGCCTGCAGGCGCAGCGCAAGGAGAAGTCTCGAAACGCGGCGCGCTCCCGGCGCGGGAAGGAAAACCTGGAGTTCTTTGAGCTGTCCAAGCTGCTCCCATTGCCCGGCGCCATCTCCAGCCAGCTGGACAAGGCCTCCATCGTGCGCCTCAGCGTCACCTACCTCCGCCTGCGCCGCTTCGCCGCGCTCGGGGCGCCGCCCTGGGGGCTTCGGGCCGTGGGGCCGCCGGCTGGACTCGGGTTCGGTGAGTGCGCGTGCGCGGGGGCCCCCTCCCAGCCCCGCGAGCAGCGAGAGCCGCGGGTCCCCGCGGGTCGCTTCTGCTCTCCAGGCCTCAGTTTACTCTTCTGTGGAATGGGCACGTGAGATTGGGGAAATTTCGTGAATTTGGGCCTCAGAGAGATCCACAGGGATCAGACCACAAGGAAACGCTATTGTTTTAATGGGGGAAGGTGAATCATTATCACGAAAGAAAAGGCTCCACGGAGAACACAGAGGGAACCCACGCAGGTCCCCCTTCCGTTAATGGGATTTGGACTTTGGTTTTGGTTTTGGTGCTTTGAGACTGGGACTCTTACTAGGTCGCCCAAGGTGGCCTCAAACTCAGCGATGTGCTGGGCGTGGTGGCACATGCAATCCTAGCACAGGGGAGGCTGAAGCAGGAGGATTGCCTCAAGGTTGAGCCCAATCTGGACTACATAGTGAGTTCAAGGCTAGCCTGAACTGCGTAGGGAGACTCTGTCTCCAAAAAAAACCCCCCAAAAACAGACAACAAAACCTCACAGCGATCTTCCTGCCTCAGCCTCCCGAGTGCTAGGATGACAGGCGTGGGCCACTACGCCAGGCCCACTCTTTAAAGGGAGAGAGACCTCAGGCCTGCGGGGCCCTAGAGGGGACGCAAAGATGCTGGAGTGTCGATTCCCCGTTTGGAGATGCAGAAGGGATAACATCGAGGAAGATGGGGGCCTCGGGGAGTATTCCCGGGACCTGGGGGATCTCAGCCACTCCCCAGCTTCGTGACTTCCCCCAGTGGGCTGAGCACTGGCGCCGTTAGAGACCTTCGCCGAGCTCAGAGCTGAGTCACCCTGTGTCTGGTCAACTCGAGGGGCTGTTGGACTCGGTTTACTGGATTGCGTCTGGCGCCGTCCGATCGCTTGCTCGGTATCCAGCAGGAAACAAACCAAGTCCCTGCCCCGGAGAGGCGGCCCTGCTAATGGCCAAGATGGTGAACAGTGCCCGCTGTGTGGTGTAAAAGCCCAGGCCGGGCAAGCTCTCTAGTTTCGTCTTCGCTCAGACTGGGTCCCTGACACCTGGAAGGGCTATCGTCATCCTTGTTGCTTCTCCTTGGTGTCTCCCTGTGAAAGGCATCCATCGCCGTCCCAGCGGACAGGGACAGGGCACTCCAGCACCCCAGGCTGTCCCCAGCCCAGGGAAAGGCTGTCCTCGGGGTGGGGTTGGAGGGGCTTCGATTCCCCGCCTGCCCTGGTCCCAGGGGAGGGGGGGGGGAATAGCATTGATTAAGCCCGCAATAAATCACCATTTAAATTTAAATAATCCGGCTTCGCAGGCGGTAATTAGGCGAATTGACTGGCTCCGAGAGAATGCCGCATTAGCGCCGCTGATTACTGCCATTACCTCGAACAACATGTGCGCCGGCGGGGGATAAACATCTTGTCTATTGTCCCTGAGCTGGGGAGGGGTGGGGCGCTTCGGGAGCCCCAGGGTGTCCAGTGCCCCTTTAACCTGGCTGGGTGTCCTGAGGCTGCTAGTGAGGTCACAGCACTGAGATGACACACACACGGCCACCTTCAGCCAGTCCCACGTGCCTTCCAGGACCTCTGCATGGCCTCCCTGGTCCTCAAATTGGGAAATCGAGGGAGGGGATACCCCCAGCCCTACAGGGTCCCCAAAACGACACCAAGCATGTGGTCTGAAAGGGAGAGTTCTCAGGTGTCCTCCTCAGCCGAAACAGTGACAATATAGAGCAGGCGTGGTGGTGCACACCTGGAATCCCAGCACTCTGGGAGGCTGAGGCAGGAGGGTTGAAATTCAAGCCCAGCCTGGGCAGCTTAGAGACTTAGCAAGACCCTGCCACAAAATATAAAAATTAAGAGGGACTGGGAATATAACTCAGTGCGAAGGCCCTGGTTTCAATCCCTAGTACTGAAAAATAAAAGTAAAATAAAATAGTATACAGTGCGCATTCCAGACACTCAGACACTGTGCCTGGTGCTTTATACAAAGCACAGTGCTGGATCTTTGCACAAATCCCAGGAGGGAAGCACTGTTCTGGTTCCCATCACAGACCCAAGAGCTGAGGCCCAGGGACAGGAAGCTTTGGCCTAAGGTCACACCAATGCTTCCCACACCTAGGTCTCTGGTCCCTCTGGGCCTCTGACCCCACCCACTGGACAGTGGCTGTTACAGTCTAGCCCTGGGCCTCCAAGCTGGGGAGGGGTCAGACTCCAGCCCCTGTCCTTCCAACCCCGACACCTTCCCCACCTCAGTATATGCCATGCACTGGTGACACAGGCCAGCGTTGCTGCCCCCAAGGATGGGATCCCTCAAGCACTACACGCCGGTCCTCACCCCTCCCATCTCCTCACTTCCTCCAGCACCAGCCTCAGTCCTGTTCAGACAAGTGCATCCCCACCGCAGGGCCTTTGCACTTGCCTTGGTTGGCACCGGGGCCCCTTTGCTCAGCAAGCCTCTCTCCAGAAGGGCCCACCCTGCCTACCAGAGCACCCCACCACTCCACCCCAGGGCCTCTCCTGCTTGCTTTCCAAAGGGCTCACTGTCTTCTGCCTTGCCAGACATTTACCTTGTAGCTTGTGTCTCTCCCCTCTAATGCTTTGCTCACTGAGCCTCAAATGGTGCCTCACATGCTTCAGTACATAGCTGGCAGGTAACTGTGGGCTCAGGTCAGAGGAAGTGACCTGTGAGCTGAGGTTTCTCAGTGAGCGACAGGGAGCAGCTCATGCAAAGGCCCTGAGGCTGCCAGGGCCTCAGTTGCTGGGTATAGCCGCAGCCTGGAGACTTGGGGTCTGTAGAGGTGAGGAGGAGCCCTGAGGTCAGCAGGGCCACATGCTGGGCCCCAAGGACATGGCAAGGACGTGCCTGGTGACATGAGGGCGAATGCAGGGAGCCCAGGGAGGGGCAGCCAGACCAGGCTGGGGCCTGGTGAGAGCTGGTGGAGGTGGCAGTGGGGACACATCAGCCCCTGGGCCTTGCTGATGATGCTCATGTGCTGGAGAGGTCAAGGGGCCAGTGCAGGCTGGGGGTTTACCTGGTGCCCGGCATTGTTCACGGTGGCCTCGCCCAGGCTGAGATAGGACTGGGGACCAGGCATCTGCTGTGTGCTGGGGAGGCACTTTCCACCCTCCCCGCTCCTTCCCCTGTCCCAGATGGGGCTGGGGACAGTGGAGGGAGCCGCAGGGTTCACCCTGGCCTGCACATCTCCCTGTCTGTGCCCCGAGGCCAGGACAGGTCCTGACTAGAAACTGAGTGTGGAACGAATGAGTGGCGTTTGGGCTTGGAACTCGCAGAGGGGCAGATCTGGGCGGGGTGAATGGGGGGATGGAAAAGTGGGGCCCCTGGGAGAGGAGCTGGGAGTCAAGGGAGAAGCTGGGGTAGGGAGGTGCAGCAGTCCGAGATCAGAGGTAGCCCGGGCCCTGTCACGGGGGACAGGACCGTGAGTGGGGAGCAGGAGGCCTGGCACCCCCTTCCTGCTGAGCCCATTAACACTGTTAATTGCGGCAGCTCAGTCTGACCCAGGCTGATCCTGAGAGAGGGAAAATGAAGGAATTAGCAAAAATGACAGGGGAAAATTGCGACAATTAGCAGGCAGCATTGTTCCCGCCTGTCACCGGGCTGGCTGGAGCTGCATCTTGGGGGAGGGGTCCCCCTCAGGCCCTCAGTTATTATTCCCGAAGCGCCAGGCAAGAGCGAGCAGGGACAGCCAGGAAGTGGGGGCTGCTCCTGGGAGAGGGACACGGCTTGCACTGGGGGCGCAGGGCAGGGCTGCCTGGCGTTTTGAGGGGCCGATGGCACAGCAGCCGCGGTCTTAACCCGGTCCCAGGCTCTGCAGCTGAGCCCTTCTGTCTGCTGAGTTGACTGAGTGCTCTGTGCAAACCCACTTCACAGAGGGGGAAACTGAGGCACAGAGATGGTGATGGGGAGGGCAGGACCTCAGCCTGCACCCTTGGGCCCGCAGGAAGCAGGCGCCTGGGGACCCCGAAGGTCTGAGTCCTTTGCCAGCCTCCCCAGAGCATCTGCTCTCCCTGGGGGAGGGGGCATCCTCAGCATGGTTGGGGCACTGGGGGCCCAAGACCCCCTTGTGTCTGCCAACCCCCAGCACCAGGCCTGGGCCCTGCTCCTGACATGGCCATGGTGGGCTGTGCCGCCTGCCCCTGTCTCCTTTATCTCTGTCTCAATTTCTCTGTTTATATGTGTCTCTATTCATA